CCCCAATAAGATCCATCTATAGAGAGCACAGGGAGGGAAGCTGCAGGAAATGATTCCTTCATCAGGGAACGAGTTTGTAAGGATTGGATTTTATCAGGGGCTCAGATGAGATTTCTTTTAACTGGGGGGGTCGGGGGGGGGGGCAAGCAGTCAGCAAACTGGGGGGGGTTGCGGTTTGTTTGAAATGTCCTCCTTTTATCAAACTCTAACATCCGTTCCATTCATTACAACACCGCCACCTGCTGGGCAGGAAATTAAGACATCAAAAAAAGTGTAATATTTCTAGCATCTGTATTAATGCTCTGTGTGTGTTACTACAGGGTCTCACAACCCCCGGTTCGGGGACCGGTGCCGGTCCATAGGTCATTTGGTTCCGGGCCGCAGTGAAAAAATGTACTTCAGGTTTTTACTAATTGACTTGATTCCAAAATAATCCGGATTTATCCATTGACTTTTTTTTTATTCTAAGATAATCTGTCAATGTTTCAAAACAGAGTCTAGAAGATGTTTTATTTTTAAATATTTTATACCGGTCGACCGGTCCTTCGTACAAAAAAAGGTCCGGGACCGCGGTGTTAGCCAACGTTTTCATTTAATAAAAGTAAATATTTCTCTGAAAAGACGAGTCAGAACTGGAACATTCTGGTAAATATGTTAATCCCATGCTGCACCATGAGAGAACTGTTAAAATCAACTCATTACAACCAAAAATATATATATATATATATAAAAAACAGGAAGTTCCTAAAAGCCGTTTCCTCCAGGATTACATAAGCCTTTAATCCAATTTATTTTCAGAAACTCTGACCGACGTCCCTCCTGTTTGTATATTCATGGGTTTCAGCCTTAAAATCTGCTTTGTAAATTGTTTTTTTTTTCTTGCACAAACAGCAGCTTTTCTCCTCCTGGAAGTTTGTCTCACTGAGACGCCAGGCTGGGGTTTTTTATTGTGTGGAAATGTTGAGGTTTGGATCCAGTGTTTGACAGTGTTGGCACCTGTGTTTTTGTTGTCTGTGAACACACTCACCGTCAGCCTCCTGCTGCTTTAAACCAACGAGAAACAAAATGGTATTTATAAATATCTTAGTTTGAAGTTGGTTGAATTTTGTCACCCTAAAAAACCGACCATGAGATTAACCAATACCTATGTAGACAACGTTAAACACTGAGGTTAGAAAATTACAGTTTGTTTTTTTACTTGAAAAGACAAAGAACTTTAATTTAAAACATAACTCTAACTCTTTTAAATTAAATAAATTTAATGTTGAAAACTGATAACGTCTTTCGTTGTAACGTTGGCAGAACAGACCTTAGAGATTTGTGGAAATAGACCGAGCAACAGGGGTCAGTAGAGAGCTGCATATTGGGACTGTGAGAGGAGAAGAATTTAGATCATTTCTTTAGTTAAAAAACAACAACAACTGGTCAATCAGACACATCGTCAACAGAGTGTGATGAAGCATCTGACAGTTCTCCAGCCGTGATGGTGCAGAGTGCCCTTGTGTCTCTCTCACCCTCCCTCCCCCCCCCATCATCTTTGTCTCCCCACTGATGCTGTGAAAAGTAGCCTAAACATTTCATATATATTTTTTTTTTCCATTCTCGTTACTAATTCAAACCTCATTAAAACAACATGACTCAAAGTTGCTCCAGTTAGGACTCATTAAAACTCAAAGGCTATCGTGTTCGTCTACGTGACTGCCCCCGGTGGAGGAGACCCAGCGCACATCTTAGTGAATATCTGAGGTGTTGAGCAGTGAAGTTGTTTTAAATGTCATTCACAGAAACAGTTCCAAAACTCCCGTTCTGATCCTGAACCTCAGGCTCTCGTGTTCATCTCTGTTTGGCCGTGGTGGCCTGACATGCAGTAGTCCAGGTCACTCGGTTGTCCTTGTCTGCCAGTGGCAGCAGATGGTACATCCACGGGAGACGTCCTGCTCACTGGGCCTCCTCCCCCTGAATCATACTGCACCAACGGCCGCCCTGAGAACCGTTCAGATCTGCAGCGCTGCATCGTTTACAGAACTGGTTTTTTTTTTCCAAATAAATGAAAAATAAATAAAAAATAAATGAAAAATAAAACACCTCACAGTGGAGTGACGTTGACCTCAGCCTACATTATCCTCCCTCCCCAAGTGGTGGGACTGGATAGGAGTCAAAGTCGTTATGATTCCATGGTCGACGTCACTCATCGATTCCATTCCTCGTCGTCTGATATTTGAGAGGTTTTCTGATACGTGTGAGATCGTTATGGATTCCGTTTGATCCCAGACTCAGTCACGGTGAAGGTGAGAGAAGAGCTGCTGAATGTGATATATTAACCGTGTTAACGTGTTAGGTGATCATGAAATCAATATTTCAGAACTGCCTCAGAAAAACAGCAACCACACATCTGGGGTCGAATCAGGAGGGAGTCGGATTGTGTTCCAGTGTGACCCTCAGTACAAGGACCAGATCCAACTACCAGTGGTTTATACACTTTATAAATATATTTATAAATATATAAAAGTATATAT